TCCTCCACTGCCTCCTCCCCCACCCCCACTCTTTAAAAAGCCCGCCCCTGTTTCCGCAGATCCGTCTTCTTCCTCCCACACCAAAGAAGACGCTAGTAGAACCCCTGAGGGCAACCGTTTTTCTGCTCGTTTGGCAGACATGTTTGCTTCCGTAGCAGCAAACGCGGGTCGTAGAAGAACAGTTTCCCCGGCTAGGCGTACGGTTGCTGAGGAGCCTCTTGGGTTTGACAGGATCAACCTGGGGAAGAAACCTGCTGTGGCCTCATGCGGTAAGGAGGGTAGGGTGAAATATGTGGAGGATCTTAGGAAGGAACTGATGACGAGATCTAAGTATTAGTTAGAATCTCTATGCAAAGCTGACAGTATTTAAGTATTTCAACAAGAAGCAAGCTTCTAATGATCTCGCGGAGGCTCGGGCTCGCGACGCTTACGGTGAGGAATCAGGTGAAGAAGGTTTGGACAACATCGCTACTGGGATCCAAGAAGAAAACCCTTCTTGATGATCTTTGGATCCGGCCTTTAATTGGGGATACGTTCATCGTACAATCCGTTTACGGGCTCTGCCTACTAGAAGATGTTTAGATTGGGAAGATCTGGAAGCTTGGATGCGATTTCTGATTATTACGTTGGCATGCTTAGGACAACTATCGTGGGCTGGAAAATTCGTTGGTATTTGGACTGATCTTTTTCGTTCCGGCTGTGATATTTTTTCGCCTACGGGCCATTGTGTGTACTTACTTGTGTCTCTTATTTTCCGAGCTGTCTACATTGGCTCCACTTCCCGTGGTATCTCCACCAGATGGCAGGAACATGTCAGGGCTGCTATAGGTTGTCTGATGGTCCGTAGTCATAAACTGCTGAAATGGTTTAGGAAGAAAGCATCTGCATCGTACGTAGCAATTCCTTTGTTTTTTCCCTCAACTGATGAGCTTAGAAAGGTCGAAGAAAGGCTTATCTTTCACTGGTACCCCGCTCTCAATTCTCGGGTTGGTACCAAGAAACAGGGTTGCAGAAGAAGAGGGAGGAGGGAAAGAAGAACATATCACAGGAAGATAGGTTATCGAATGAAGCACTCAGTTTTGGATCAACCAGTCACCTTCACAACCTCTTCTGGTAGTGCCTTAATTCCGCTTAATTCGAGTCATGTTTTTTCTCTCATTTCGGAGCTGAATAAGTGCTTGGACAATGGCACGGCTGTTATTACTGTACGGAGCGTCACATGTACGTTCTTCACGGATGCCTGGAGTCGAATTTCTAGGATGTTTGGATGGTCTTCGATTGTTCATAATGGGAGAACTACCCTTCTGAAGACTTTACGATCGAAATTTTTGCTAGGTGGTATATTTTATTTCACTTGTGTTTGTCGACATTTTGATGGAAAAAGTAGGAGAAGGTGTATCCTACTGGCTTTATTGCATGTGCCGTAGACGAGGTCGCTGCTAGGAATTTTGACATTCGGAATCTTATTAAGCTATATAACACCACCGAAGTCTTCTTTACCAACCGAACTAGGGACATTTTGAAAAGGATTGTTGGATCGGTGTTATCGCAGAAAGTGGGGTTCGGTTGTACTTCTCGGGTTGTTGTTAAGGTCTGATATGATTCTAGAATTAATAAATTGGTCATTGCTGAATTTACTAATGTCTTCGGAAGCGGGTTCAGCCGGATTGTCTAGTGGAATTTTTTATCTCTGGACTTCGTATTGTTTCGACTCGGAACAAATCCATTAGGAAATTGATCCATAACCATCGTAGGTTTGCCAAGGAAATTTCGACTGACTGCTCTTGCAAAAATGTGTTGGGGCTCCCTCGGAATGAGGAAGGTCATGTTTCTTTCAGATTCTTTGAAATTCGGCACATGACATCCACTCTTATTAATTCAAACAACATTTGTGTCCCTCCWAAGGATGTCTCTATTGGACATGTTCGGAGGGCAATCGACGCAGGTCTGAGTAAAATTCCTAACGCTACGAAGTTTCGTCTATCTTTTAGAACCATCTCTAGATGTTTTCGTCCACCTCAACCTAATTTTTCCTTTCTCCACTTGGGACAAGAAGACGTGGAATAGCTGCATAGCCTTGATGGTTTGGTGGTGATGCCCATAGATCACAACATCGGGGACACTTATGTCTGTTGTCCGGTAGTTTACTCTGAAGCTATGGGTAAGTTATTCATTCGTAACTCTGGGTTCGTGATAGACAATCGTGATGAAAAATGTATTCTGGATTTATGTAGGAAGTGCTTTGAAAATCTTCATTGTGATCAAATTGCACGATGGAATGTGAAAGGGAAGTTGGGATGCAGCTATGTAATTCCTAAACATAAGGATATTACCAGATAGAGGCCTATATCTCCTTCCTTTTCGGATCCGGTTGTTCGTTCTAGCCGTATCATAAGTCGAGCTGTGAATATGCTCCTATGGAATCTTCCTGATAATTTGCATTTTAATATTAAGTCTACGTCTATGTTCAGAAGTATGATTGACATGGTTAATAAGATAGCAGGAAGGCGGGAGAAGGGCATCATGTTGACTGCATCCTTCGATATCAAAGACATGTTTACCAAGCTACCTCATTCTTCAATCATCCAGGCCGCCATTTGGATCTGTCATCTGTTTCAGACTAAGGGTATAACTGCAGTTCGCATTAGTAAAACGGGTAAGGAGTCCTCTTTGGCCARAAGATCTCGGGATAAAGGTTGGGTTAAAATCGGGTTTCGCTTGTTAATCAAGTTGTTAGTTTTCGATTTGGAAAATACTTTTGTCAAAGTTGGTTCGGTAATCCTCAAGCAAACTATGGGTGTGCCTATGGGCAAAAGTTCGAGCCCAGTTATGGCATGCTTGCTGTGCTTTTTTTTCGAATCCAGTTTCATTTCTTCTCTGGGGGTCGACAGTAGGTTCATCACTGGGATCAGACTGATTGATGATGTGGGGATCTTTTTAATTTTTCCTAGAAAATCCTCAATGTATCTTCGCAAGGCGGCCTTCATCCATGCGAAATTCCAAAAATGTTACGACGATAATATTTCCCTCATCCGCACAGATAATCGTTCTGGCATATGGGATTTGTTGGGATGCATGATCACGTCTTCGTTTTCAGCTCTGAAGGTTAAGTGTGTCGCCACAATGAAAAACCAGGACTTTACCTTTACTGCAACACCTATCAAATTCATTTCTACTCAAGATTTTTCATCCTACGGCCCCCGACAACAGAGGAAGGGAATTGTTTTTTGCCATCTCAGTAGGTTATTGGCCCACTCCTCCGACAACAGAGGAGTGGGTCTGAGCCTGCTTGTTCTAAGGAGGGAGCTTCGCTTAAAGGGGTTTCCTAAGCATTTCTTCCCGAATTCCCTTTCGAAATTCTCAGACAATCACAACAAGATTTGGGACCCGTGGGCCTATTTTTTTTCACTCCTTGACTAGAGGCGGCAGGAGCCTTTTTGGTTTTGGGGTTTCGGTTACCCATTTTATCGCAACTAGTGACCCAGGTTCCAACATTACCGGGAGCATACATCGGTGTCTCYGGTACTAGTCTGCTAGCAGGATGTTCGCTGAACTAGTATTTAGACCGGGAACGCGGGTTTTCTCAACCTCTTTTTCCGGCCGAAGTATTCTGACATCTCGTTGGAGTGCCTTTTCCTCGCCCCTTACGGCACCTCTGTATCTGCGGTCTTTTCGTCCATCTCAGATATCGTTCCACCATCGGTCCTCTTTCCCTTTCCTTCTCAGTTTCCTTCCTTTTCTCCTCTCTCCTCTTTTTTTTTTTCTCTCTCTCTCTCTCTC